CTAAATAAACGCTTACAGATTAACCAAATAAAATATATTAAAGATAGTACTGGTTAAAAGTTCAATAGACATATGTACAGCTCCCAGATAATTTATGGCAGAGATGGTGAGCTTTATAGTTGAAGTGTACAGGTTGGACCTTCCTTTTCCACCATCCTCAGGACCTGACTTCTTTTGAAAGAGGGAAATTGCTCGATTAGGGGAGGTTTCTTGCCACTGGTCTCCTAGGATGCTGTTCCTCCTTGCAGCTGACTCCACTCCAGCCTGCAGGGTATGGATTTGGGTTCTGGTCCGCTGGGGATCCCTGGGGATGGAGCTACTGAGCTGCTACATCCCTGCTTCTCCCCTGCTCAGCCAGTGCTCCCCAGGGATGGGGCTTGCCAGCTGCCCCGTTTTTGCCATGGTTTGCCAGGGCTTACCAGCTGCCCATTTTTGCAGCTGGATCTCCCACAACTGTCCTGCCTGGCCAGGGACTCCCCAGGGTTATGGCTCACTGGTCCTGCTGCTGCCCTGACTGGTCAGAGCTCCCAGCCGGTTAGCACTTTTGGGGGCTGGGACTTTCTGATATCTGCTAGATTAGAGTTCTGTATTTTGGAGGTTCAACCTGTACTTATGGGCTATGTCTATACTGGCAGCACGTGTACACTGGCATGTGCTTTTGCGCAAGAGCATCTATGGTAGTGTGGGCGCTCTCTTGTGCAAGAAAGCTCTGATGGCCATTTTAGCTATAGGGGTTTCTTGCGCAAGAAATTCATGTTGCCTGTCTACACTGGCCTCTTGCACAAGAACTCTTGTGCAAGAGGGCTTATTCCTCGTTGGGAGAGGAATAACTCCTCCAGAAGTTTTCTGACGCTGTACTGTACTGACGCCTGTTTTCTGACGCTGTACTGTAAATTTACTTGCACAAGAACGCAAGTGCAGTGTAGACACACGGCAAGTTTTTGCACAAGAACAGCTGTTCTTGTGCAAGAAGCCACCAGTGTAGATGTAGACTTAGAATTTAGTCCAAGGTCCAGGATGTTCCAATGTAGGGCTGGGATCTCAATCCTCATGGCTTAGGCTTCCCCTGCATGAAACTTTAAGCAGGTCTGAAGTAAAAAAGATCAGGTTCTATGCTTCTCTTCATAATTCAGAGTATTTGTGTGAACAATAGGCAATCCTAGACACATCCAAATGTACCTATTAACCAAGCATTACTGTTAATTATTTATACAGATTAACATAAGACAAATGCTTTCTGACATTTGTAGGTAATTTGCTATACACTTAAAATAGATTGCATAGACAGAAATTGGTTGGTTAGCCTCTAAATATATATAGGTAAACACTGGTAGATAAAGTTTAGGATTTTGTATGTTCCTAAAGGTTGCATTTGTGTCACTTATCCTGAAGGATGCTTAACCCTTTCTGGACACTTATACATAATATAAGATTTATTGAAATTATATAACTGTGGTAGCAATAATGATTTTGCAATATTTTATCAAACACTGCCACTGTATTCTGCAAAGGAATACTGCCTGTACTTGTGCTGTGGATCAGGGATACTACATAGTCCAAAAAGCAGAACATAGTATAAAATGCACGGCACTTGAGAGGTAAGGCATGAAACACAGCAAAAGGCAACTGAAGCCAAGGTAAGGCCAAAATATTCTAATTTGCCAATTTATTAATGACCTACAATTGAAGAGAATGCAATACTGGAATATGCATTATGGGTTTTGTTGCACTATACTTGGATGCACAGACACTCTTCTTGTGTATTCTCTAATTTCTTTAGATAAGCTTCAGTAAAATGTTGATATCTGTTATCAACTGCTGTCTTTGGAACAAACTGTTTTGAGTGGCAGTCATACCTAGTCAGAGAATTGCAGTCCTCAGGACTCCACGTCCTATAATGCAAGGGTCACGAGTGCACTCATACCTCAGTGATCTGGAATTGGCATGGCTCATGCGAACATTAGAGTAGTGTTCTAAGATGCAACTAAGAGTTCTTCCAGGAGCTTTCCTCTTTCACAAACATGTCAGGCTTGTAGAAAATCCAGCCAGCTGCCTTTTTTTCCAGTTCTTGGCTGAGGTCACCTCCTTTTCCCAACCTATATGTAGATTAGGTCACAATGAGTATTTGTACAGAACTGGTATTCTGATCAATATTATACAACAGATAACTCATTGTAGCACAGGGCTAGCTCTGGAAATGAAGGTGCAAAGTTAAGGAGCAACAGGCTATCAAAGAGATGAGTGTAGTCTGAGAAGAGTGGTTTGTGTGTATTTATTATGACACCGCTAATTACTAACAGGCTTGGCAAGCTGTATCTGTGAATAAGGATGGAAACCCATTCTGAGTGACTGACCAACCACATATTCTGAGAGTACCAAAGAGTCCTGGCCAGGTGTGTGTCCTCTTGTGATAGGCGCTATACAAAGACAAGGTCATCTTTAAGCAGAGTAAAGACCAACACACACAAATAACTATTAGAAACTCAAAACTATTAACTTATGGACTCCCCCACTTTAAACAACCGATTTGCTCCCTGATGAAGAAATTACCAATTGAGTTCATTCTTGTAAACTTAACAGCCAGAGGGTTTCAAAATTACTAAATACCCCTTTTGCAAATATTTACAGGGTGCACCTAACAGCATGGGAGAGATCAAGTCCACCTTTACCAATCCAACAATCTGCTTGTTACCTGTCTGTCGAACAGAATCAGGAAGGTCAAAGATGTCTAAAGACACTTCCCAGAGAGTTATTAGATAACCCGACTCATCCGCTTAGGGATGGTGTTTCAGGTTGGGACCCCTATTCCGTATCTGATCACCGGCAGAGTGTCAGCGCTTAGATTGAGATGGCGCGTGAAATAAAAACTTAAGACTTGGGTTTTCAGTGATAACCACAAGACTATATTAAGTGAATTAAATTTAACAAACAGTAAAAATTTGTAAAAGATGGTATACCTCTAATTAACGAATAAGGGGGCAGTCCCCTATTAAACTACATGGACAAGAAGGGGAAGTCCCTCCAGGTCCCTATTCCTACTTACAGAGTCTACGGTGATGGGAGGACGATTGAGGTGGTGCTGGCGACCTTCAATCCCTTGGCTATTTGAAAGCCTCAGGAGAGGAACGACCAGGCGTCCCTTGCCAGCTGTCTCTGGGTCAAAGCTGGCGACCTCAATCCGTCGGTCCTTCCGGACC